GCCCCGCCCGCCCGGCCCAGGCAGGCCGGCCCGCCCAGCCATGGCCCAATGGGTAGGCGGAATCAGCACGCGGGACGGAGCTACCTCGGGCCAGGCCTCGGAATGCCACACGTAGCAAACGGCTAATGATCAACCGGTCACCCCTCTCCAAAGGGCCTGCAGCTAGCAGGGCTATAAAATGTGCAAAACATCTGCCCCCGACCGGACGAGCCACGACAGCTGGGTGGGGACCACTGCCCGCTTTCCCCTGGTGGGAACCCCATTCTGGAAGCTGGCCCTGCGGGAAAAGTCTCCCTCAGCCAGGCATTTCTCTGGAAAAGATTCCCACGCCCCGGTCGCCTCCCGCTCTCTGGCGAGACCCCGGTGCGCGGCCCGGGGGCCCTGAGGGGGCGTGGCGGCGTCTTCCCGGGCGCCACCAGGGGAGGAAACCTGGCGCCCGGCCGTCCTCGGGGCTCGGCCGCCTGCGGACACCTGGGAGGGCTTTCTGCGAGCTGCTGACTTGTGCCAATTTATATGCTAATTCCATAAATGATTCTTCCTACATTAAATAAAAGCTGAGGAACGTTCCAAAGGTCTGAACAGACTGTACCAATCCCCGGCGGGCGACGTGGCTGGGCTGCCCACGGCGCCCGAGCGTGTGAGCCCGGCCCCGGCCCACGTGCTGCCTCAGCTGACCTGGCCCCAGAAGCCGCGCCGGCTGAGCGGCCAGTGCCCACCTTGACCTTGAGGCCTCTCAGAGGTCTCCCGAGACAGCGAGGCCCAGGTGAGCCCCGGTGGGCCGAGGGTCAGAGCTGCCCGCCCCGGCCGGCCGCGCCCGCTGACCCGCCTCCCCCACAGGGAAGCAGCTGGTGCACTACACGGCGCAGCCCCTGCTCCTGGTGGACCCCGGCCACGCGGACGTGGGCGGCGACCTCCCCGTGCTCTTCGAGCTGGGGGGGGGCCCCTACTTCTCCGAGGGGGACGACTACTCCGACGACCCCACCATCTCCCTGCTGGCGGGCTCGGAGCCGCCCAAAGCCCAGGACCCCGCCGTCTCCTAGAGGCCGGCGGGCGGCGACCCGGCCGGCTCGGCTCCTGCACACTGGGACTGGCCAGCGCCGGAGCTCCAGCACCGCAGTTTGGATGTTGGCGCCGCGTGCAGCGGAGGGCAGAGCTGTGCGCGCCGGGCGGACGCACGGGCAGCGCCTATAAAGGACCGCTCCCCACACGGCCTCCGCGTCTGCTTCCTCGGGGGGCGCAGGGGCCCCGACGGGCAGCACCCCACACCCCCGCCCCCGCCGGGCAGGGCTGGCCCGGCCGTAGGCTGCAGGAGCCCTCCCCGCCCTGGGCACTGTCCCCGAGTGGCCAGGTGCCACCCGACGGGGCCCAAGGGCCATGCCAGGGCCACCGTGGCTTGGAAGGGGCGAGACCGCCAGCCTGGCCCAGCCCCGGGGCCTCACTCCCGAGGGCGCCGCCGGCCGGAGGCTGCCCCACGCCGGGGTGTTGGGGCCACTGGTGCTGGGGAGCGGGGTACGCCGCTCGCACAGGGTCCCCCGGAGCTGCGCTCACGGGACAGGACAGCAGGGGCCACCCGGCCAGGTGCGGAAGGAAGCTCTGGGCGACCGACGCCCGCCCTGCCGCCACGGGCAGCCTCGGGAGCTGCAGACTGGCCGGGAGGCCGGACGCCGCCCGCCCGGCCCTCGCCTGAGGAAAGGGGCTGTCCGGCCCCCAGAACAGCCGCCCCTCGGCCCCGCGGTGTGGTGTGGGCCCCCCGCCGGCCCCGAGCCCCAGCAGGCCACAGAGGTCACCGGACAGCGCTTTATTGACAACCTCGGTCCCTCGGCAGGGGCAGCCCAGGCGCCGGCTGGGCCGGGTCTCGCCCCCGAGGGAGCAGGAGGCCCCATAGGGGCAGAGAGGCCTCCCGGCGGGAGGAAGCCGGGACCGTGGCGGTCAGGCCCCCGCGGCGGGGGCCTCGCAGTGCAGCACGTAGTAGTCGTGGACGTACATGAGCACAGCCACCGGCTGCCCGAGGATGAGCGACAGCCACACGGCCGCGTTGCCGTAGTTGCCCCGGAAGAAGCGGCCCACGAGCCAGGCCAGCGGGATCTGGGGACACACGGGCTGCAGGCGGCCGCTCCTGGGGCGCGGCTGCCGGCCGGGAGAGCCGACCCCCCTCCCTGCCCCA